GCGGGGGCAGAACAGAGATTCGTTCTTGGGTTTGGGCCAGCACACTTCATCGTCACATTCGCGCCTACGTTTCAACCATCTTCGCGTTCCTGTCAGAGCTCGTTGGGTCTCAGCCTGAGGGGCTCAGAGCGTTCAGAGGCCCACGCTTCCGGGCCACGATCGGCGTCGCGTTGCTGCTATCAGGCCCCACGCGGCGTCGATCGGAAATCCAAATCCTGAGCCCAGCGAAAAGGGCACAAGTCATGCGCACCATTCGTCCTGAGTGGCGACGTGGTGTTGATGTTTTGTCGGAACCTATGGTGCTCGTTGCCATCCAGGGCATGCCGGTTTTTCCGACGCATCCACATGGCACTGTACGATCTAGCATCGCACTCGTCACTGCACCCTGGGAAGGCCGTCCTGCGGACAAGGATGCGTTCGGTAGTTGTGGGCCGAATCCAAGGGCATCTGAGAGGCTTGATGTTTCCACGTGTTCGTCAAGGGAATAGGCCAAGATACCGTGAGCTCTGACGAAGTGCTGGATCCCTACTATTCGCACACTTCCTCTGGTCACCTACCGAATCGGCGTGCAACCACTTCGAACCCCTGGCCACTAGACGCTTCCGACCGAGCGCGAACCGAGCTGATGCCACACGGACACATACACATACACACACACACACACATTCACCACCCTCCCTTCCGCCGCGGCCCCTGCACCCCCTTCGAGACGAACTGTCACTGTGCGCTCTCTCTCTCTCTCTCTCTCCGTCTTCCCCTCTCTCTCTCCCTCTTTCTCTCGCTCTCTCTCTCTCTCTCTCTCTCTCTCATTCTCTCCCTCTCAATCTCTCCCTCTCGCAGGCACCTCGGCTCGAGTCTCGGCTCGGGGCACCGGGGGCCTGCGAGCTACGACGCAGCCCCCCCGAGGCGAGACCGCTCCCGCCCCCCCCCGAAGGGGGCGCAACCGACACGCCGACCACGCCCAAACCGCCGGCGCGCGCCCGGGGCCTCCCCGGGCGCTCGCACCGCCGCGCGCGCGCCCTCGGCGCGCAGCCGGCCGACTCCGAGAGCGAGCTCGCGGGGCAGAACGCACGCGGCGGCGCGCTCCGCCGAGGCCAAGGCCGGCACAGACGGACGGACGGAGGAGGAACATTTGTCTCGACTTCGCCCTAGGCGCCCACGCAACTTCGCGTCGACACGAACGAAACGGAACGATTTCCCTGGGGTTCCGTTCCACTGCGGGCCCGAAACCGGCGCGCGGTAACCTCGGAAACCGGAACTGTAGCATGATAAACTCTGCTCGTCGAGCACTTCGTCTACGGGATCCTCGAGCTCCACCCACCAGCACGCCCTCCAGGCGTCTGCCCTGCCGTGCCTCGAGGACCTGCCCGATGGGCTGCATCCTGGTGGGCCCACCTGGACCCCAGACGACGAGCACTGCAACACCGACAATAGATCTTCTTGACGCTCAACACGGACATCTTGTCCATGCCAACGCTTTCCGGGTTGTGCCTGTCAATCTTCAAGATCTCCCTGACGCACAACCCGGCAGCCACGCTTCTGACGCTGTTTGGCGGCACGACGCTGGTGCACCACACGTACCTCCCAGACGAGCCTCCTGGAGATCTTCATTATGCTGATCATTTTCCTGATGCCCTACCCGCCAGAACCTGCGCGGGGGCCCCGCCCCTCGCCGCTGAGCCCCCGCTGGAGCTCAGCCCCCAGCGCGGCCCCCCGACCGCTCGCCGCCCCCCACCTCCACGCGCCCCCGCCGAGGGCGGAGAGGAGGACGCTGACAGCGACGGCGTCGTCGCGGACACGGACCCCCTCGCTCGCAACAGCGCTTGGCGCTCCCAGGGACACGGCAGGGGGCGGCTCAGCCCTCCCCTGCCCCCTCCCGCCCCTGCGAGGACGACGACGACAACGACGGTGCCTCACCCAGCGGCTCTGCCGCTGTGGCTTCCGGCGACTCCCCGCCCCCCGTGGCGCCGGGGCACTGCCAATCGTCAGCAGCGGCTCAGCCATCTCCAGAGTGCCCCCGCCCCCGCGAAGAAGGGGACGACGACGACGACGACGACGACGACGACGACGACGACGACGGCGACGACGACGACGGTCGATCGCTGCGTCGCGCCGTCGAGAGGACCAGCGCGGGAGCCCAGCGCCTCGCTGTGGCGGACGCTGCTGAACGGCCCCGGGCTCTGCCAGCGCTGCCAACCGCAGGCGAGCCCAGCGCCGCCGCCGCCGCCACGGCACGGCGGCCGCCCCCAACGCCGACGCCAACACCGCGGAGGTGCACCCCTCGAGTGAGGGCGCCGCGCCGATCCTGTCGCACAGCGTCGAACATACCACAGCAGGGACGCTACGCGCTGCCACCGCCGACGCCCCCCTCGACACCCCTCGCGCAGTACGCCGCGCCGCCCAAGCAGCAGGGCGACCCCGGGTCCCAGGACCTATGCCCCGCCGCGCCAGCCGCGAACGGCCGTGAACAGGCCACGCCCGACGAATCGGGCAGCACCTGCGGAGGCCCCACCAGCGCCCACGGACGGATGTTCGCAACGCATCGGTGATGCATCGACAATGCATCGGCGATGTTTCGACGATGTTTCGGCGACATCAGAGATGCATCGGCGACACCCAACATCGAGCCGCATCGCGATGCAAACGGGCTCCACATCGAACCGCATCGCGAACGCATCGTCGATGCCTCGCTCCACCCTCTGCGCGTCGAAAACGGCTCAGCCTTCTCCTGACCGCAGTGCCCTGCCGACGAGCCCCGGCCTCTCTACGGGCAGCAGCAGCAGCAGCAGCAGCAGCAGCAGCACAGGGGTGAGCAACGCGACTCTGAGCAGCCGCTCAGAGCATGGCACCACATGCATCCACATGCCCCAACCACCAGCAGCAGCCCGATGGGAGCCACCTCGGTGCCAGCGAGAGCTCCAATAACGCTGGCTCAGGGACCAGACCCCTGCGCACCGCCGACCAGACAGGGGCGGCCAATCGAGCACTTCTGCACGTTAGCGCCACGGCTGCCGAACTACAGCCTCCACCACACCGCTCCGCACTGCCCCCGCGCCAGCTCGGACGCATACACGGTGCCGCCAACGGCCGACGCCGCCTCCCGCCGCACGCGGCCACGGCCCAGGGGCCCGAGAGTGACCACGATCCCTTCGGCCTCGGTGGGCCTTCGGACCTCCACTCTGCCCATTGAGCCCAGTGGCCCAAGCGGCGCGAGACCGGAAAAGACGACTCCTCGCGGCAGGAGCGGCCTGCCTCAAGCGCGGCCCTCTTCCGCCAGGCCCCCTTCCCGCGAAGAGGCCCCGACGCAGCCTCCTCACGAGGACCCCGGGCCCCAGGCGCTCTGCCCCACCGCCACTGCGGCGAGCAGCCAGGAGCATGCCACACTCGACGATCCCGGCAGCGCCCGCGGAGGCCCCACCAGCTCCCACAGAGACCCCGCTCAGCGTTCCATCCACGCAGTGTCGGAGATGGCTCAGCCTTCTCCTGACCGCAGCGCCCTGCCGATGAGCCCCAGCCGTACGACAGTCAACAGCAGCAGCACGGGACCGCATCAGGCCGCCCCTCGCTGGGGGGAAGGCCTGCCTCAGGCAGCGCCCTTCCCCTACAAGGCCCAGCGGCCCAGCCTGCCGACGCCACCGAAGCGACGCAGCTCGCACGAGCACTCAAGCGCGTCCAGTCCACTTCGGACCACCTGCCCCTCGCCAGGGGCGCCCACGGCTAAATTTTTCTCCACGAGGCCCGCGCGCCGCCTGGCAAGCGTCCACGGTGGCCTCCAGCCACTGCAAGTCCTGAAGGTCCTGAAGGGGTGCGGGATGGGCGCCGCCACTGTCGGCGAGGTACCGTCATGCCAAAGATGGGTGCAGGCCACGCTCCACCCGGCGGGTGAGACTCGGACCGCCTGCGAGGCAGCGCCACAGCGTACCATTGTTCATGCTGGGGCGGGCCCCCTCTCGCCACCTCCCTCTCCCTCCTCCCCAGGCCGTCCGCCCAAACACGGGTGCGAAGGGCCCATCGTCACCGAAGCGCTCTCCGGCCTGTGAGCGGCGGGCGCGCCGCGCTTGCCCGGCGGCCTACAGACACGCGCGTCCCAACTGGTCCGATCTCTCTCTCTCTCTCTCTCTATGCCCCCCCATCCCACCCGTCGCATCCCCCGTTATCCCCTACGCTATCTACCCCCCCCCTCCCATCCCGAAGAGAAGAAGGGGGTCGAAGTAGGTCAGAGCCACACGGTGGGAGAAGAGGAAGATTATATGAGCGGCGCGGGCAGGAGGCAATCCGAGGGCAGAGGGGAGCAGAGCGCGGGAGCGTGGGGGCAGGGGATGGAGAGGGGAGAACGGAGAGAGATGAGAGGAGAGGACAGGGAGGAAAAGAGAGAGCGCAAGAGGGGATGGGAGAAGGGGGGAAGAGGGAGGATGAGAGGGGAGGGGAGGGCATGGGGGGGAGGAGAGAAGAGGAGAGGGCATGGGGAGGAGGGCCGGGGAAGGGAGGGAAATCCCGCAGAACGCCCGCTGCTCTAGAGAGCCGTGTTGCTCAACTCTCGCTTCGGTCTCGCGGCCTGCCAGGCTCGGGACCCCACAACGGCCACATGCTGCGCGCAGGGAATATGCGCCCACTGAGGTTGCTCTGTCTGAGTCATCTCACAATGTACGGATAGCAGTTCCTGCCCCTCCCTCACCGCCGGCCAAACAAAAAAAAAAAGTGGTGAGCTGTTCACTCTGCGTACGTGCACCCAGTATAGATGGTCACCGCTTTCCAAGACGTTCGCTGGAGGGATCACGAGATGGAACATGCATGTCAACCAAATAAACCAACCAGGTCCGCCGGATCACTTTGGCTGGTGACGATGAGGTCCGGTAGGTCAAGGTGCCTCGCTGGATTCGTCGACAAAGGCCCAGCGAGCCGAGCACGAAACCTACAACAAACACGCACGACCTCTCTAGAGGCGATCACTTGTTGGCGGTCACAAGATCCAAGGCACATTGAAAGAAAGTCGGCGGAGCCCTGGTCGCAGCGATGGCTCTGTCGGCGGGGTTGGCTGCCGCCTTGGCACGTGCCTGCTCGCGACGCCCGCGATGCGCACGACGAAACGCAGAAACAACTCGGTTGCGAAACGCTACCGATCAAAGTTCAAGCATCGGAAGTCGGATCGGCCTCTGCGTACACGTCCAAGGAAGAAGTAGAAAAATAAAAACGAGCGACCACTGGCGGTCCCCAGGCGATCCCCGTCACGTATGCTGGAACTCCCGGGGGCAATCTTCAGGACCCCACAAGCGGCCCAGAGACGCCTCAGAGGACCCCAGGGAAGCGCCGACAAGGCACTCGAGTTGGGACCCATGAGCGGCAGGCCCCATCATAGCCCGAAGAAAACCCCAAGAGGCTTCAGGCTGGCCCCAGAAGAATCCAGGACAGCCCCAAGAGAGCTTCCAGAGGGCACAAACCATTCATGTTTCTCCAGTTCTTGAAGGATGCTGGTGTCACCGCCTCTGTAGTCTTCCGACCACCGCGCACGGCCCAAAAGACGACCCTGAGATCGGGCCAAGGCATCCCCAGATGCTGTCGAACTCAGATTTCGAGCCGTTCCCCGACAGATGGCCCCCGAAACGCCAAAGGCATCTAAGTGGCGTTGAAGAGGCCCCAGAAGCCCCCGAGACTCCACGAGAAAACCCCGAGAGCCACCCCCCGCTCAAAGGCCCCCAGAAGTCCGCAAAAGCGCCCCCGCGAATGCAGGCAAGTGCCAGCGATGCTTCAAGACAGTCCACCAACAGGGCCTCCAAGAAGCACTTTCGAGAATCTGGGGAGAACTCCTCATATCATTCCCCTCCTGCGCCTCTTTTTCCTTCTCTTATTCCTCAAAGGGTGCGCGATATACGGCACGCGATACGCTACGCTTAAACCCTTCAGATCGTTCAGCCGCCTTTCACCCCGAACGCAGACGCAGAACCGAATATCCACGGCAGCAGAGCATGGCACCTTTTGCAGCGAACGGCAGGCAGCCAGTATCCAGGCCTGGCTAAGATGTCCGTTCAAACTGGATCCCCAGACCACTCCCGGGTCCATCCTGCTCAGCTTGTGGAACTCGATGCTGGCACCCCCAGAGAAGCCCTCGGCGAGGCTTGCTGAGTGGTAGGCTCCAGGGTGGCCTGACAATGTGCGCGACGGGCCCCGAGATGGCCCCTTGGTGTCCGAACATTGTCCACAGCAGCGTTCTGAATCTGAACTTTGATTTCTCTCCTGTTCGCGTTCGATCTGACAGCTGCCGCGTGCACGCGGTCACACGGCAACGATGTTGCAACATTGACCGGCGGCATGTGCGCAGCGACCCGCCGACCTATCGGGCGCGGCGTGTGAGATCCCCGCATCATCATCTCCAAGGACTGCTGTTGCTCAACCCTCTGACCTGAGAACTTCTCGTACTCACCCTTGTCTCGGAGCCCTAGAAACCCCTCCCGGGGTCCTCCCCGCGGTCTGCTCGTGCCGCCAGCCCGAGGGCCTTGGCTGGTCCTGGGACCCCGCTGCCCGTCATTGGCCCCTAAATCTAGCATGTCCTCGCACGGGAGTCTTCCAGATGCCTCTGGACGCCGTCTGGGGCCTCTCTGGAGGCCCTCCTGGACTGTCTTGGGGGGCGTCTTGGGGCCATCTTGGGCCAATGTTGCCCGTTGTTGGGCCCTCTTGAGCCGTCTCGAAGCCTTCTGAAGTGTTCGAAGCATTTTGAGCCGACAGTTCGAAGAAGCCAAAAACTATCAGAAACCCATGGGGCCTTCTTGTGACACTTCCTGGGACCTCTCAAGTCACCTTGCGATACCTTGAGGACCTCTTGGGCCGGCCTCGAGGCATCTTGGACATGACTTGGACCGGCTGGCCACCCTACTAGACCCTTCTCGAGCCGTCATGAACGCACCTCGGATCCAGTAGACGCTCATCTACGGGGTCAAAAAATACTGTTATGGAGCCTCTTCTGACCCTCCATCAGTCTGCCTCTTGTGGTGTCGTCCGACGTTGTCGATACACGTTGGGTGCTCTTTCGAGCTGCTGTTGAAGCTGTTTGAGGCCCTCTTGGTTGGTTTTGTCCCAACCATCCTGTGGTGATGACTCCTCCTTTGAAGAGACAGGCCCCGCGTATCCTCTTCTTCTTCCTCCTCCTCCTCCTCCGCCTCCTCCTTCTGCTCCTCCTCCTCCTCCTCCTCCTCCTCCTCCTCCTCCTCCTCCTCCTCCCCCTCATCCTCCTCCTACTCATCCTCATCCTCATCCTAATCCTCATCCTCATCCTCATCCTCATCCTCATCCTCATCCTCATCCTCATCCTCATCCTCATCCTCATCCTCATCCTCATCCTCATCCTCATCTCATCCTCATCCTCATCCTCATCCTCATCCTCATCCTCATCATCATCATCATCATCATCCTCATCCTCATCCTCATCCTCATCCTCATCCTCATCCTCATCATCAGCATCATCATCAGCATCAGCATCAGCATCAGCATCATCATCATCATCATCATCATCATCATCATCATCATCATCATCATCATCATCATCATCATCATCATCATCATCGTCACCATCATCATCATCATCATCAGCAGCAGCAGCAGCAGCATAATCAGCATCAGCATCACCATCCTTCTTATCACCATCATCATCATCAGCAGCACCATAATCAGCATCATCATAGTCATCATCATAATCATCATCATCATCATCATCATCATCATCATCATCATCATCATCATCATCATCATCACAATCATCAGTATCCTCCTCGTCATCATCATCCCACCAACACCACCACTACCATCATCATCAGCATCATCATCGTCACCATCGTCATCATCATCATCATCAGCATCATCATCGTCGCAATCTTCATCATCATCATCGTCATCATCATCGTCACCATCATCAGCATAAGCATCATCATAATCATCATCAGCATCGTCATCATCATCACCATCGTCATCCCCATCATCCCCATCATCCCAATCATCCCCCTCCTCCTCCCCACCCTCCGTTTCTTCTCCTTCCAGAACTGCAGCGTGGAATCCCAGAATCGGGCACGCCAAAACCGAAAACGAAGCGGATTGCAACGCTGGCTCTAGTCCAGACCAGGTCGTGATTCCAGGGGGGAGCACCCTCTCCTCCACATCCTCCTGCACCTCCTCGTTCTCCTCCTCCGCCTCTTCCTCCTCCTCGCCTCCTGCGGATCTTCCCTCTGCCACTTCCCCATCTTCAGTTCCCACTTCTGCTTCCACCTGCCCCTCCTGGATCGTCTTCGTCCTGCCAGCACTTCGTCCTCCTGGCCTCCTCCAGCTCCCCTCTGCAAGTTCCTCCGCACCCTCCTCAGCTGTGGTTCGTGCACAACCCGTCTATTCCCCGACGGATGCGACGAGGCCCAAAGAAATGAGGGAGGCGATCCCTGCCCCAATCGAAGGAATTAACCAGACAGCTACTGACTCGAATCTGCTGGTGCCATGTTTCTCCCAGTATTCAATCGCACCTTCGAGCATGGCTTATATACATATATATATACACAAAAGACAGTCTTGGCGCTTCGTACCATGCACCCTGGTCCTTGAAGCTTGGCATGCGGGCGGAATGGCAGGAAGGTCGAGCCGACAACTTAACGATAACTCCTTGTTGCCTTTTGCGGCATCGCCGTTACAAGAATGTGATTCGTTTTCCTTCCTCCATACTTATTTTTCTTCATTCTCGCCACACCCTGCGTATTTTCCCCGTCCTCCTCAGCTCTTTTTGTGGAGGCTCCTCCTTGGAGAGCCTCTGTGGATGGTTTATATGGCCAGGGATATCTTTATAGGGCCGGGGACCCTGGAAAAAGCGCACCCACCCCCCTAACGAATTTGACCCACCCTGGGCCTCTTCGGGCAACCCTCCAGACGGCCCGAGAGAACCCCACGAGAGCCCGTAGACGGCCCCAGAGGGCTCCAGGCATTCCAGCGCGCTACCGAAACCACCCCAGAGAGCCCCAAGACGGTCCACGACGACCCCAAAGAGGCCGTCATACCCCCAAAGATCGCTCCAAAACGTCCCAAGAGGCCTCCAAGAGCACTCCCAAGAAGGCCCCAAAAGACAAAAGTCATTGATTTTCGGTCAATGTTTTTTGAATTTGGGGGTTCTCCTCTTTTCGGCTTCCCGACGCTCCAAGACGGCGGTCGTCTGGGCGTCCGAAGCCGCATGGGAGGCTCGAAAATCGCCCCACAACCATCCGAAAGGGCTTCCGGGCAGTCCAAGAGATCCCCAAGACGGCACAACAGGGTTCCAAGATGGCCTAAGAGAGCCCCATGACGGCCCAAGATGGCCCCAAGACACCCTCTGAAGCATTCCGAATCGTGAACCGGTCGTTCAGGGAGGCCGAGGTTGGAGGCAGGGTGGCCCGAGGAAGCCCCGAGAGGCCCCTAGAAGACGCCCAGGATGCCTCCAGAAGGCTTCTAGCAAGCCTGAAAAATTTCTGCGAAGCCTCAAGAGGCTCTCCAAGGAGGAGCCTCCGCAAAGAAAGCTGAGGAAGATGGGGATAATACGCAGAGTATGGCGAGAATAACGACGAACTTCCTTGTCAAGACGATGCCGGAAAAGGCAACAAGGAGTTATCGTTAAATTGTCGGCTTGACCTTTCTGCTATTCCGCCCGCATGCCAAGCTTCAAGGACCAGGGTGCATGGCGCGAAGCGCCAATGCAGCCTTTTATTCATACATGTTTATAATATAACGCCGGGGACAACGGAAAAAGCTCACATACACACACACACACACACACACACACACACACACCTAACGAATTTGGCCCAGATTAGGCCTCTCGGGCAACCCTCCAGACGACCCGGGAGAACTGCACGAGCCCGAAGACGGCCTCCCAGGGGCCTCTTTCGGCCTGCCCTGTTGGGCACCTATAGGCGGCCTCGGGGGTCAGTTTGGGGCAGAGGGTTCCAAATAGCAGCTCGTATTACCCCTCCATCCTGGGGCCCTCTTGGGCCGTCTTCGGGTCTTCTTGGTCCATCTTGGGGCCCTCTTGAGCCGCCTAGGGGCACTCTTGAGAGCCTCA